GAACCGCTTCCTCTTCCTTCTCTCCCCTCTGCTTCGTGGCTTTGCAACTCAGTTTATTAGTAGTTTTCTTTTTTTATTGCTCATTTCTCATCTTCTGGACGTATCTCTCCTTGTATGGAAATTGCTTATAGAAGTAACAGGGGGAATTGCTACGGGGATCATACTATAACAAATAAATCAGAATGAGAGGGAGAGAAATAAAAGATGTTATTTTGCAACCGGAGTTAAGAGATTCCTGGACGGCAGCTTGATTTTTATATAGGCAGCATCCAATTAAATCAGTCTGGGAAAATTCAGCACTTGGAGAGAGCAACAAAAAGGAGATAATTTTAAAGGGATCTATTAGGATTAGCAGCCCCGTGAGCCTAAATCTGCACCTATGTGCACCTCAAACCACAGATGAGGAGAGCACCCACATGGCTTTTGGGGTAGACTGAAAAGTGGGATAAATTCACCCTCTGTTTTTTGGGCTAAAGCGGTGCAATAAAGCCTATCCCAGCATAAAATCCCAGCGTAATGAAAGTAACTATCCCTGCAAAGCAAGGGAGGCGGAAAGAGCTGGCTTGGTCCCTACCCACCATCCCACGCCAGGAGGACATCGCGTCTGCAGCACCCCAGGGCACGGGCACAGCCAAGGAACGGTGAACAACCTCCTGCCAAGGGCACAGTCCCATATGCTTGTCCTGATGGAAACCTACCTAACCATGACAAAAACACACTAAAAAAAATTTAAAAACCCTATAAAACGCCACAAAAACCTGTAAAAAAACCCCAACAACCATAAAACCACACAGACACAGCACAGCTAAAGAAAAAATGTCTGTCAAAACCCTCTTGGCTCAGTAACAGAAGGAGCATTTCAAGGCTAAATACATTTTTTGCATCTGTAAAGGATGCATAAACAAAATTAAAAGCTCTTCACAGTACTACAGATTCACAGGTCTCCTTCAAAAGAAAACACTCCTTCTTGACACCTGGTATTTTATTTAGTGATGACCTTTTTCCCCCCCCCCAACACAAAACAGTTCATTTGGCACCAGCAAAGCCCAAACAACAGCACGTTCCTGCGGAGATCATCACGCTTCATTTCCTCTCCGTTGCCATTTCTGTCGCCTTTTAAAACCATTCTCACGTTGTCAAGGACTAATTCAGATTTTCAAGTCCTGACTTCCAAAACGCCAGCACTTCAGCAGGCAGGTGGAGGACCGGGTGCTATCCAGCTCCTCGCCTCAGATCTTTTTTCATTTTCCTCAGCTCCTGCAGCTCTTTCTTCAGGTGCTTCACAGCCTGCAGGATGTCCTGCCGCTGCGGATCATCCTCCGCTTTCTGGGTGTACAGAAGGAAATGTTTCACGGTTTCGGAGAGCAGCACCTCGGGATCCACATCCACTCGACGGAGACGCAACATCCTCTCGCAGGCGATGGCGTAGTTCTTGTGCCAGTTCACCGGGTGATTGGGATGAGAGTTGACAATCTCTTTGTATGACTGTTGAAGGGACAAAACAACAAAAAAAAAAAAGAGGGACAAATTAATTGAACGAAGGAGACCAACAGCTCTTAACAGCGCTCCAAAACCGCCCATAAAGGAACAGATGCTATTCCGATGTGCAAGTCCAGAGTCGCAGCATTTCTGTAACTCGCTCCACGTTCGCCACGCGATTCGCGGTAGCGTGAATCAGAAATCTGAGGGGGGCTGAAATGTTTCCCTTCCTGCAGCAGCTGTTTGGCTAGAAATGTTAGAAATTATCATTATAACCCCGCCGCCCGTCATGCGCTGCCCCGAGAGAGGTGTTACAGCGGGCTGTGGGAAAAAAGAGCTTTAACTGCCGTGCCTGGAAAGACATCTACTCAACATTTCAGGAGATCAGCAGCAGAAACACGCCCGAGAACTTTGCAAAGCAGCAAAAATCACAGCAAAATGGGTAAAGGAAACTATTTGTTGACTCTTTGCTAGGCTATGAAATGCTCCTCCTTCTCCGTTGACACATGCTGATCATTTTGTGCATCTGTTGGAGTCTTGGGTGGTCCAGTATTTCCGCAGATACCTCCACCCGCTTATGGGTGTTATTTTTCAGTGTGAAATGCAGCAGAATTAATTTGCAGCAAGAAGACTCTTGGATTTTACACTTGCTGGCTGAGATGCATGACTGGGTAATGACAGAGGGGACCAGTGCGTGGAGGGGACTTCAGGACAAGCAATCTGTTGGCATGGGTTTGGAGCCCAGCACAGACAGCACAATTATAGCAAAGGCAAGGTGTCCTCTTGTTGGCTTTTGGCATCTTCCGTGAGCGAGGGGGCAAGTAAGAATGGATAAAATCCCTGAACACATCTCTTTGACTGTGCAATGCTCCCAGTTTGGATGAACAAGGGAGAATGCAGATTACAGGACCTATAGGGAAACACCACGTTCCTATGGAGTCCAGAAATTTTAAAAAAAATTACAAAAAAGGGAAAACAAAAAGGATGGAGACTGCAGTGTGCATTCCTAACCAAAATCTGTGACTTACGGTGTACGCAATGGTGTAAAGTTGTGATTTCATTTCTGCAGTCACACTGGCAGTTTCTGCAAGGTCAAATATGAAGAAAGCTGTCTTCATCCTAGGAAAACAAGAAAAACTTCCATTTAATAACTGCTTAACATAACCACAGCTCACATCACATAGTTATACACATCTTCAATATGTCCACACAGCTCTTTAATTGTATGGGACAGCATAAGAGCTTCTCCATTTAAGGAGAATCACTACTTTCCTGAAGGATTTGCTGGAAGCCATGCACCTTTCATTCTGTCAACCTTTTCCCTCCCAAGCTTGGCACATTTAGGTCCAGTAAGGCCATGCACCATCAGGCTGCCCGCTCTGGTGTCTATTTCCATGCCAGTGAGTTGGCATCGCCCACCGGCTGTTGGAAGGGAGCAAGGGAGCATCACCTGGCTTGCCACATCTCCTCATTGGCGACAGCTTCCCAGGAAGAGGGCTTGAAACTAAATGGGAATGAGAGGAAAATTCAGCCATCAGAGCCATGTCAGTGTGTTCTACCCACAGCACCACCAAACCTCCTAGCCCAGGCAGAAGAAAACCCGTCGTGAAGCCTGGCAGCAGGGAATTCAGCTGATCCTCAGGCATTCATGCAACTTTATTCCTCTCTCTCCATAGAAGAAGCCGCTGGTACATCAGGTGCTTCACACCATCAAAGTGTGAGATTTACCATCCTTCACAGTTCAGCTACGACATTTAAAGCTTTGGATGCCCCAAGTTCTCAATGCTTTTTGGCTCCTGATCAAGTTTTAAGATCAGAATCGGACCTGGTATTCAACTAGAAACATTTTCTCTATTTTGAATGCTAATAAAAATATCACATGTGGATTTATAATACATTCCAGGACACAAAACATTATGATTTGAGAGAGTCCAGCGTAGGGCTACAAAGATGATCAAGGGAGTGGAGCATCTCCCTTACGAGGAGCGGCTGAGGGAGCTGGGGCTCTTTAGTTTGCAGAAGAGGAGACTGAGGGGAGACCTCATTCATGGTTATAAATATTTAAAGGGTGAGTGTCACGAGGATGGAGCCAGGCTCTTCTTGGTGACAAACAATGATAGGACAAGGGGTAACGGACACAAACTGGAACACAGGAGGTTCCACTTCAATTGGAGAAGAAACTTCTTCTCAGTGAGGGTGACAGAGCACTGGACCAGGCTGCCCAGAGAGGTTGTGGAGTCTCCTTCTCTGCAGACATTCAAAACCCGCCTGGACGCCTTCCTGTGTAACCTCATCTGGGTGTTCCTGCTCCGGCAGGGGGATTGGACTGGATGAGCTTTGGAGGTCCCTTCCAATCCCGAACGTTCTGGGATTCTGTGATTCTGTGTGATTATGGCTCATGTTTAATTTCTCTAACACTGTGATGGATGTGGTTATGCTGCTGGCAGAAGAACAATGAGCAGGAAGGAGCAGAGTCGCCTCTGCGTTGTACCTGCCGTAGTCTTCAGTCCAGTTATAGAGATTCCTGGTGAGACGAACCCACTCTCCCGGATCAAACACAGCATCAGAAGGAACCAACTTCTCACAGATACCCCACGGCCAGAGCGAATAGCTCCTTCTCCAGGTCGAGTCCCCTTCATGAAGGCCTATGCAGACAAACACTTCCTTACTGCCAAAATAAAAACAGAGAGAGCAATCATGAAGCCATGCCAGAGACTGTGGGCCACCCCTTATGCCTGAGCAAACCACACCAGCTCTCCCACTGCAAGCAAACACCCCATATGGCAGTGCACAGCTTCTATGGCCAGCAGAGGAGGCACAGCCTCTCACCTATGTTGGGCCTCCCAAATGCATCCCAAAAGCTGTGGGAGAAACCCAATTTTTCCCCATGGCACCTGGTAATGCTCTTCTGCCTACCTGCACAGCTCACCCTGGCTTGTCTAAACGCAGATGCTATTCTTATTCATGTACCTAATCCTTTCTCCACTCTTACTAAGCTATTTTTATATGATGATTATTCCTGGAATACATTCATTCTATGTTAATCAGTTGGCCACAATGCTCATGAAGGAGAAGCAGCAGCAATTTGCTCTCCAACCATCGTCATTTTAAGTATGAGGGAATGTTTCTTTTTTTTTTGTGATGAATTGCATCAACAGCAAACGAAAGCATCAGTAAATGCTCTCTGCTGAACACCTTCTTATTTTTCCTTCCTAAAAACCAAACCAATCCCAAAACAACATGCAACATTATATCCGGATGGGGTTACTCCTGCACAGATATTTGCTTTAATTGCAAAAATAATCTCACCACCAGGGAGGAAGTCAGTGGAGAAAAAATTGGTCTTTTGGATGCAGTACCAAGCTGTTCCATAAACAATTTCCAGAAAAAAAAAGGTTGAAGATGTTAGGAAAGCTGTTACATATGAAAGAAATGCTTACTGTTTATTTACTTTGAGGAAACGATGGAGATTAAAAGCGAGTGTGCCATCGGGTAATGCTCCTTCCACAGGATTCCATCGGTTCCCAGGAAAATGAACTCCAGGTAAATGCTTCGCCAGCTTGGGTAAATACCACTCATAAGTCATCATCTATCACCGAAAATATGAGCAAAATTAACACAAGAAACACAAGTTTTCATCCATTGCATACCCAGAAGTTGCAGAAAATGGTTTCTGCAGGAGGAATGACTCCACGTGCTCAGTAAGGTCACCTCCCATCTCAGCAACTGTCTGGGACCACAGCAGCTGACCAGGTCACCAGTGGCTTCTCATCAGAGGCCTCCCCGTGAAGCAGGCAAAGGTAACATGAAATCATTGCTATGGGTAAGAGACACAGCCAGGTTTTGGGTTGGTTAAAGATGAGGAGTTGGGTTTGGGGTTCCTCAACAAATCCCAAACCCTTGCTGCAAAGCCAAGTGCAAGGACTGATGTGGCAGCAGCAATGTCCCTTCTGGCAGGGGGACTTTTCTTCTTCTTCCATTTCTCAGGAGAAGAAAGAAGAGAGTACAAACACCACTCAGGGACACACAGCACATCTGTTTTAGTGTAAAAAACTAGAGGCAGAAACCTGCAAAAATGCCTTTGAGGGACCAAGATAACACAGAGGACACAGGGAATAAATGGGTTTGCACACCATGCTCCATCCCAGAGCTACCCACATCCCTTTAAAAAAAAAATAAAATCCATTTTATTTCCACATCATGAGCTTTATTTGAACAAAGAGACCCCCTCGAGGAGAGAAAGGAACAACTGAACTTTTGCTTCCTGTTTTTAAATCTACCCATTGCCTTTTTAGTATGACTTGCTGAACCTACCTCCTGGTCCACTAAGGTGATATCTGGCCTCATCCCTTCACAGTAATGAACGTAACGAAGAGCGTTCCCGGGTAAGTCTCCCCTTAGCAAGACCATGGCATCTGTCGGCATAGAGGACAGCAGACTCCTTGCAAACTTATCAACAACATAGTTGTTGCTCTGATCGCAAGTGCTTAAGAGAAGAGAGAAAAAACAGTTTAAAAAAGGTATTTGCATAGCTTCAGAACAATTTTACGCAATAGGCATCAATAGGTGAAGTCTTTCGCCCTGGTCAGGTCTTGCTGAAAAGCATCATCTCCATTTACAGATAAACCGAGAGAACAAAATGAAGTATTAAGACTACAGCCTCCCAGAAACCAGCACCAGAGACATGAGCCAATGCAGTTTTGCCAGCACACACACTCACTGCTTTCACCTTAATTCTGACTTTTTCTTGGGCTAAACCTGAAGACTTACTAGTTGGAGGTGGAAGTGCCAGTACAGTGGTTCTGTAAAGCATTTGAAATCCTCTCCCTTCTTTTAATGCTTTTAATTAAGCAACCTCTACCTGAGCATCCCTGCTACTACCCTGATTCCTACCCAAGCCACTGCAGAGTCTTTGGTGTGGTTATGAGAAGCCCCACACTACAGATGTAACTCTTCAAAAAGGTAAAAAATATAAGAAAAATCCCAGGGCACAAGGAAACCTGAAGCAAAGCAAGGGAAGGAGAAGGCGACTGTTCAGGTCAAACAAATTCTGCAAACCTTCTTAGGAAATAAAGCACAGATTTACAAGTTTCTTTCATTAGAAAGTTTACTTGTCTACAGAGTTTTCTCCCTTCAACCTACATGATACCCCAATGTACAGCCTAGAGTTGGTGCTTGGTGATTTTGAGGGAGATCAAACAAGACACGTGCCTGGGGGATTTGTTACCTGTAATTTGCCCAAATCTGAGAAGCAACAAGAGCAAGAGCCGAAATCCACTCCAGCCATGGCAGCGCTCGGTTGCCCTCCAGCGCGGCGCTTGCCACCGAGGCCAGCGTGGCCAGTCCCAGCCCTGCCAGCACGGCCACCACGGCGCTGCTCTGCAGCCAGAACCGCTCCACCTAGGACACAACATCACAGAAACCACCTTTCCATCTCCCCAGCTAAAAGGAAACAGAACAAGGAGCTGCATTTTTGCAGCTTTCAGACAGCCACCCACTTCTGACAAGGTGGTTTTAAGGCTTCTTCCAAAAATTTAACACCCCAGAGCAATTTTTGGAGTGTGACTTACCACACCCAGAAACAGGGGTTTTGTAATATCCAGATTTGCTCTCCAAGCAAAGAAGATGGAATAGAGACAGAGCATTCCAGTGAGGAGCCAGATCATGGGTGACTTCTGCTGCTTTGTCCTGTGAAAAAAATAACAAAGCACTCTAGCAGCGTGATGAAAAAGGAGACAAAAGTTGTACGTGCTTGAAAACAACTCTGTGTACCTAAATGCATTTAACACAAGGAGCTGATGAGCCTGTCTTTACCTTTGCAATTTATGACACTTCCGTTTTCAAAGCATAAAACCATAAGGATTTCAAGATTTTTAAGCTTGCCATCTACAAAGTCACAGGGTTACCGGGAGCAGGGATGTTTTGCTCTTAATTAACACATAACAGCCAATTGCTGAATTTTTTGCGCTCAGAAGAAGAAAAACTCCTCACAGCGCAAGGCAGCGAAAGCCGCCCATGCAGCCAGTAATAAAGTCCACTGGGGGACTTTATTAAATCATAAAAGTATTTAAAGCAAATATTCTCCTCCGACTTACGGCAGTGCTGTGCTCACGCAGGCCACCAGTGCCAGGGCGAGGACGGGGAGGGAGAGCTCCGACTTCATCTGCGCCAGCTGAAAACTGCAGAGAAACCAGTGCATGGTTTGTTTTTATGATTTCATTCTTATTTTGCATCCCCAAATCACCACCTACACTCAAAGCGTTAAGAGAAGCGGGACATAAGCATAGCAGAATGTATTCCTCTTCTGCTGCCATTAAGTCTATCAGAAATGGGAACAGGCTCGGTTTCCGTATCAGGTTTTTGAATGAAAAATCACTGGGGGGGAGATCCAGCGTTTTTCCTTCAATGGGGAAAACAGACAGACATGCAAGCAATTCCTGTGCCGGACGTGCAAGGCCCCAGCTCTGGAGCAACGCAAGGAGAGGCAGGACAGGAACCACTTTAGCCAAAACGACAGCAGCATCAACAGGTTTCTCTCCACAAAAAAGTGCAGTTGAGATTTTACTTACACCAGCATCTCTCTCATACTGGATCCTGTCTCAGACTTGGCCTAGAATAAAATGAAAGAGAACCCATCAGAAACCCACATGCTGGTTGCCATATCACTGGGGCAAGGAAAAGTCACAGGGCTCCTCAAAACCCCTTCAGGTGGGACTCCAAAGTGGTCCCAGGCACCAGGAAAGGGCTGCCCTTCCACCCAGGCAGGGCTGTGGCATCAGCCCAGCTGGCTTTGGGACCAAACGCTTGGATTTTGCTGCATTTGTTGCTCCTGCTTCAGACCAGTTCATCGTAAATGTGATTTGTGGTGCAGGATTACACGCAGTCTATCCCTAAAGCCTCCTGAACATCAACTTGAATTCATCACATTTGATGGAGAAAGGAGTTAAGGGATTTGCATGCCTTGGTATTGCTCTCCCCAGCGGAGTCTCATTCGCAGAGGACAGCTGGGAATAGGGCAACAGGGGGAATCTCGGGAGTCTTTCAGAGAGGGGATCATATCCCTGTAGGAGTTTTGGAAAGATTAAATGGCAGCAGCAGGAAATTATCAAGTCTTTTGCCTCACATCCTACAGCCACGCGGCTCTCTGCGGAGGCTGTAATGGAAAGGCAACAGTTCTCGCTGCATCATGTTGGCTGGATACAGGGGCTTAATTTCTAAAGGTGTGGGGCTTGAGGACCCAAGGATGACATGATACATAAGCCATCCCTTTTTCTTATTTCTTCCCCCCAGTAGTGCGATTTCCCAGCCCTCTGCACTGAAATCTCTGATGCAGGAAGGCCAGGAGGGGTGCAGGGCGCTTGGTTTCCTTGGGTGGCCAGAGGAGGCAGACGCAAACCCTACGCCGTTTCCGAGACCCCCAAACCTACCATTCGTTTCAGTTCGGTATTAGTAAGTTGGAGCAATCTCTTTAAAAGCTAAAGTAATGAAAACTGCTTGCAACCTCTTCAAACAGCGGAGTTTAAGTTAAAAAAAAAATTCAGAGAATTACTTGTCTTTAAAGAAGAAAAACACAAAATTGATGCCACCATCTCCCTCTAGCACAGTTTGCTCTTCGGGCTTTTACAAATACAAGACACCTGTACAGCTTCCAGTAAACAATACGACTTAACCCACGAAGGGAAAGAAAATAATTCCTTTGCTTCCCCAGCCGCATGATCCATTCCCAGAAAACCTGACAGACCCAAAGGCCAACACGAGAAACAGTTTTTTTAAAAAAGAATAGAACATTTTCGATTTCTTCCCTTGCAAGCCATTAATCGTCACAGGCAGAAAGGTCCTGTTACTGCATAACTTAAAAGAAAAAAGTAATTTAGAGAATTTACCAGATTGAATGTCCCATATTCTTCCCTGAGAAAGTGGGTCAAAAATCCCTGAAAAGTCGTCTGGTCTCCCCACGTCCAACGGGCTCGACTGAGGTAGGACGAAGCCGGCAGATAGAGATAAGGCAGCAAACCAGCCAAGAAGCATAAACCCAACTTCAGCAAATGGCCTAGGGACAATTCCTGCACCAAAATATGTCATATTGCATAACAATGTTTATTTTAGTTTAATCACGCTGGAACTTCAAGAACAGATAAAGAAAAAACATCAAATATATTTACACAGAGCTGATCTCTCAATTTATAGTAAGTCCCTACAAAATGCTATGTTAAACCTCACGATTTTGTGGATTACTAGGAAACTGCATCAAACTGATCTCCTTTGCATGGCAGGGTGAAATTTAAGTGAAGCAAATAATATTAGCTAGGACTCACGAGTATCATACTCATTGCATCTTTCACATTTAAATCATGGCATGACATGCATAGATGGCTGAAGCACTGCAAGGCTGAGATAACCCACTTTGCAGCGATTAAGAGTTGGCTGGTATTCCATCTGGCAAAAAAAAAAAATAAAATTAAAAAATGCTGCTCTAGTACAACTACACACATCACCACCATCATCAGGAGTCAGTTTTGCCATTTACTTTATCGTGATTATGCTGGCTAAATCGGATAGGCCAACTTTTGGGGTGGGATTTTCAAGACTTGCCTAAGGGGTCAGGAAGACAAGACTTTCAAAGGGACTTCTGTGCCTAACTCCTTTAAGTGCTTCGGAAAATCCCACCCCAGAATATTGCACGCTTGCTTTATTGTTAGCCACTGCCCTGTCAATCAAAGCCCTTCTTCAGCGGTCGGGGTTGCGGGGAAGAGGCACCGTTCAGAGCGATGATCTACAGAGCAGGAAAAGTAGCTTGATAACGGTGGTGGCCACAGTTCCTTCAGACAAAAGCTGGCTCTTTTTTACTTCAAAAAGTACTGTTTTCCATTAAATATCCATCTTATTAGGTGGGTTTCTGCAGCAGGCACTACTGGACTGTCTAAAGTATTTCCTAGGGGTATTATATGGCACAATATTTTCCTTGCTGGAAATGACAGAAGCCTCTCCAAGCTTTCTCAGTTTAAAAAAGAGCTCTGTTTAAATATATTGCAGGAGTGAGTCTTTGCTGTGTTAAAGAAAATATATAGTTGGAAATGGTTATGCTGGAGATGCTGAACATTTTGGATCAAGCTTGTCTGGGTTGTATCTTCTCTCTCGCAGCTCACGCTTTCATCTCTGTGCTTAGCACCATCGCCAGAATCACACTCCATTTATCAAGTCACTGGTATAAAAACACAGGCAAGCCTGGCCCAGCGTAAACTTGCCCAATTGTCACCTTCAGGGGGGCAAAAGAGATGGGGAGTAGGTGGACGCTTCTCAGGGCCGAAGTGATCAGAGCATCTGCATCGTCGTCAGGGAAAAGTAGAGTTTCTACAACACGTCTCCATCCAGGCTGATGCACTGACTCATGGAAGACAAGACATCACAGGGCCCCTAAATGTCACACGGGAGCCTCATCCAGACAGATGCACATCACCTTCATAAGCTAGGCATGCAAAAAGGTGTCTTCACCTTCTTACAATAAGCAAGTTTAATGAAGAGGTGCAAAAGGAGGGACATCTGAGAAGATCTCTGGTAGGAGATGAAAGGGACATATTTGACTGGACCAGAAGCTTGCTGGTGCAGTGAAGGTCACCCTTCCTTTGGTCTTTTCCAGCTGGCACAAGCCAGGCGCTCTTCACCCGAGAGCTGATCTCCTGTACAACTCTCCAGTCCTGGTTGCATCAGAACTGGAGATTACCAAGCCTGGCCCATCCCAAGGAGATGCTGAAGAGGATTTTCCCCTAGAGACAAGCCTCTGCCCCCCTTCTCGCCTTGCTGCACCTTCAACTACCAACTGCAGTCGCAAGATGCTCTGCAATGACCGGACATGGCTTTTGTTTGTTGCCATCAGGGAATCAACACACGAAAACCCATCTCCAGATGAGCTGATGGCATGAGAAAGCCACTGCCACCAGCCAGGACAAGCAGCGCACACAGACTGCACGTGCTTGTGACTTCTCGCCTGCTCTCCTGTTTGGTAGGTCATTGAACGTGCTCTTATTTCCTACACGCTGAGCAGCTTTTAGCTCCGGGTATGGGTTTTGTGGTTGCTCACAGGGTATTTGCAAGCAGTCAGGGCAGAGTGGTCCTGTGCAAGGTGACACAGGCAAGTCACAGATCACTGGTGTGCGCAAAGCCCCAAAATCGTGATGGGTGGCTCTGGTACCAGGCCGTGGACCTTCAGTGGGTTATGACCAGACAAACCATTGACTGTCCCCATTTACACGTCAACACAAGAGTGAAACAAGTGCTTGGAAAGAAGAATTACTCACTGCCTTATGAAGACAGAGGCACAGGTCAGCAAAATACGTACCGTCTTTCTGAAGAGCCGACAGAGAACCCAAGGCACAATACAAGCGATATAAAGCACTATGGTGTGCTGATTGCACAAACTCAGCCCGCAGCAAAAGGCACCAAATTTAGAGATCTGAAAGTGGGGGGAAAAGAAAAACACATTCACAATTACTCTTTGCAGTTTGCAAAAACATCCAGAGACCAAAACAGCTTCAGTGCAGCCCACGGGCGAAAGGCAAAGACATCAGTGAGCACCAGTGAATTGTAACACAGACAACATGAGCTACTTTTCATTATTTACAAGGACGTTTCATTTGTTTAACAGAAAACATCCTTCAAGAAGTGTCCAGCTGAACGGCTATGTCTCCACGTACACAGGGATCCTATGTAGCACCATCACCTCATAACGATGAGATGGGGTCCAATTCCTGAACCCCTGCTCAGATTTTCCAGAATCCATACCCTAAAAGAAAGCCATTATGTACAGAGACCTCATTTTGTATAACAGGAATTATTTTTTCCTAGTCTTCAAGCACAGAGTGTTCAAGTCAGGGTTACACAAACTTCATAAGCAAAGGGAGTTAAATGTGATATCTCTTATTAGTCTAAAAGCTCATTTTCAAGCATCTTTGAAAGAGTTTTTTGATAAATTGGTGATGAATCCAGACACAGTGCAGGATGTTTTGGGTACTCAGTAAGGATTATTCACAGGTTTGTTATTGGTACCTGGCTGATGCTAATGAAAGCCTCTCTCTGTCCCATGCTGCCTTATCCTCTGCTCTGTCCCAGCACCATCAGACCAGTGCTGAGCCCTCTTCCTTCACAGCATCACCCCAGCCCATTTCAGCCACTGGTGAGGATGCTGTGCGAGATGCAAACACTCGCCTTGGCATGGTGGTGGGGTAACCAGATGAATTTTAATCGACTGCCAAGCATTCAATGTTGAATGCTGCTTTGCCATGGAAACACCTGCCATAACTTCTGAAAAACTTTCATGGGCTTCAGAGCTGCCCTGTGGGACTCAGAGCAACCTCAGTAATTTTTAAAGTATATTAATGAACTCCAAGCACATCCTTAAAAACGTGTGCATGATCATCTGATTTATGAAAAGGGCTGTAAGCTTGCTGTTGGCAGCCTGGCTTCTTTGAGGTATGGGATGCCAGACACCAAAAAAAAAACCCAACCCATTGAAATGAGCTCCTTAACTGCTTCCAAAAACCTCATCTGAAAATCCCATTGGAAATTGGGTAACGTGGGAGCAGGTTGGAAAATGCCCAACTCCACCTTTGCGGAGTGCAGGTTGTGGGGATCTTGGGACAGTACTCATCAGAAAAGGAAAAAAAAATTAAATCCAATGGTGAAACAAGGTCCCTGCAACCACTGATAAAACATGTTATTTGAGAACTCGCGAAGCTGAGTAAACTACCACTGCAGACTCCTGAAATTCTAGCCTAGCCTGACAAAAATCCCTTTATTCACACAATTTACAGGAGTCACAGCAGGCAAGCCTGTGAGAGGAGAAAAGATCAGATGTTCAGGCAAGGAGAAGCAGAAAGAGCAAGGCTGCTGAGTAAAAATATCATTTGGCTGTGCAGTCTGTTTATAAAGTAGAGAATATAGCATGAAATTGAAAGTCTCTGTATTTAACAATGCCATTATTTTAGGGGCAGATTTAATTTAAAGAAGAACTGATTGAAAATGTGGTTGTTTCTGTTTTTCAGGAGAAACCTGGGTTTCTCAATAGATGAGGTTTTCTGGAAAATATATCTATCTACCCCAAGGAAAAAAATCTCAGTTCTGAGAAAGAAAACTTCAACACCCACAGCCCAGTTTTCGAATTTTTGATGCAGGAAACCAAACTTCACACTAAAACATTTAGATGATAATTATTTTTCTTTTCCTGTTTCCACCCTGTGTATATTAAACAAACCAACACCAAACCCATCCAACAGGTCCCAACTCAAGCCTTACACAGAGCGGGCAGGATTTTCAATGTCTGGCACTTTTGAACATCCAGGTTGGTCAGGGGTGGACACCACCCAGTGCGGATGCTCAACCAAGTCCCAAAATTTGGCCTTCTTTAAACACAACTAAACCAGTACTAAATGAAGAGGAAATTAAACAGGCTTGTGACAACTAATTGAAAAAAAATAAAGAACTGTTCACTTTGCTTGAGATGTTTTACCTTTGATCTCTCTTTTGCAGTGGATGCCTCCTCAAAATGCGCGGTGAGAGCCATCAGCAGCCCCACAAACAGATTGTTTAAGCTGAAAACCTCCGCCGCGATGGACCACTGCCATGTTAGACGAGAAAATGCAAACACCCCCGCAGCAAGGATTCCTCCAGCATATGAGCCAGAAAGCCTGCAAACACAGATAACATGAAATCTTCTTTTCCAACAAAAAAAGCCTACTTTATTGTCCTTCTTTTTTTTTTAAAAAATTTATTATTTTTTTTAAACATACTGTAGCAGCAGCAATGATGACTGCCACCCAGCACCCTGCCAAAACATTATATGGTTAACGTCTTCCTAATAATTCCTTCGCACAGAATCGCAATTAGGAAGAGTGGGCGTTAGCCAGCCCGTCTATTCGCAAGCCACCCAACACCAAAGAGTTGGCTTCTTCTTATAAGTGCCATGAAAACTTCCAGTGTTGAATTTGGTTCAGAAATCCCAATGAGCGACGGCCCAGCGGGTCGTGGGATGTCGAGCCAGGGAGTCATGCCTCTAACGGGATACTCTCCACTGGAGGAGATGCCAGCAACGGCGCAGCCTTAAATTAATCGAGGCGCTGGATAAAGAGTGGATTAGAGCTATCCATGATGGACAGCATTAGCAGAGCTGTCCTGGGGGGTGTTTAGCGTCTCGGGGGTGGGTGAGGTTTGTGGCGCCCATGGTCCTGGCAGAGAGAGGCGGCCGCCGGGGTCAGGAGCGGGGAAAATGGGTGTCAGTGAGGGAGCAGGTGAAGCACCCAGCGTCGGGATGGCAGCAAGCCCAAAAGCTGGGCATCTCTGCGACTCCCAGGTGGGATTACAGCACACGATCCCCATGGAGCCGCTTGCCCAAGACGGCTGGATGCCCACGAGGTGGGATTTCACCTAGGAAATCTATTACACCCATTCTGCAATAGCAGCTCTTCCCACCCGGTCACATCAGGGGCAGCTCTGGCTCTGTCTGTTTGAAAGGTCCTCCTTTGGGAAGTCACCCTGAAAAGATGCCATGTAGGGCACCACAACCAGTTCAACTCCATCTTATCCAAAGACACACATAGCTGCAGCTACGGCCAAAGCTCCTCTCCAAAAATTCACTGTCAAGACCACAGATTGGGTATTTTTCTAGTCCCACATCAGGTACACACACTTCCATTTAGTCCTAACATTTCCAGCAGTTTAAAGCAAAACGATGATAAGTGAGCGAACTTCATCAAGCTATGTGGGTAATTTGTTCCTAAATACCAGCCATATTCTCTAGCACAGCCAAAGTCCCCAGGTGGCTTCCTCTGCCCATGAGGGATCAGAGAGTGGACTTCCACATAGGACTTGCTTATGGGGCTCCCCACGTAACCCAGAGATAAATGGAAACCAAGTAAACCAAAGCTACAGCCCTCATGAACAGAGATGAGGGAGCTGCTGGCAGAGCAAACCCTAACAAGAGCTCCTCTCCTAGGTCATGCTTTCCACCTTCCCAAAATGACCTCAGTACACTGAAAACCCAACCTATTTCTTCTTGATGTCAAAGAAGGACTTGTGCAGTCAGTACAGGCATTTTTAATCCATTACAAATGGGAAGCAGGGTTCACAGGGAACAGAGGGCTGGGATGAGGGCTAGGGAAGACCAGGTCTCTATTCCTGCTCCTGCCACAGACACTGGACATCCTGGGTGGCCTGGGACAAGCCACTCTGCTGCTGTCGCCACAGGTATCTGCAAAATAAGACTCTTCTCTCCTTTGTAAAGCATTTTCAGATCTGCAGCTGCAGAAGCAAGGCAGTTCAGTCAACACCTCAGGTGTCCAAGGCCACGGCAAGACAAGCTCAGGGTGACACAGAGCTTCAGCGTCACGATTGTAGGAAGGGGGTCTTGAAAAATCACTGGAAGGGGAAAAATTGAGGATTGCTAACTAAGAGCAGGTGGGACTGTGTCAGACCAGGCCTATGACTGCAAAGTACCCTATAAGCTTTTGAAGAACGGTGACACGGAGCCCCTTCTGTGGGAAATCAGGCGAACTACTGGTATCTACCGCTGTGCTCACTAACGTGTGACACCATGGTGGACACTTCCAATGTCCAACTGCAACTTCACTGCAACTCAACACAGGTAAATGGCTTGAAATCCTCCAAGGCAAGACCTGTCACTCGCTACATTAATAAAACATTTCAAAAATCACACAATTGCATGTAGGAAAGGTGTTCACAGGCAGGAACATGGCTCAATTGGTTTTGCTACCAGCCCAACAGCCTCGAGTCCATCTCCTCCAAGGGAGAGGTGGGACACACACATCCTTCCTGTCAACCTCAAGGGCTCTGGTTGTGCTCTCCTTCTCACTGTTACTGTAAAGATGTGGCACCTGAACAGAAAAAAGGCTAAGATACAATGGGGTTTGCAGGAATTGTGTCTGGAGTGGTTTCTGCTCCTAAAGAAAAACACCAGGAAAGGACAGCAGGGCCACGTGTATTTTAAAAACGGAGAGATGTCCTGGTGCACAAACCACACTACACAACACCCACAAGGTCTGACTAAACCCTGTAAACAGCACAGACTTCGTTTTAACAAAACAACTTTGTAAATCCCTTTGAAATCCTTGCAGGGAAATAAAGGGGAAAAAAGGTAGCACAACCTTCCCCAAACCCTTGGGAAGAAAAGCAGCATTTTAGGCAAACATCCCAATCATTTACCAGTTCTGGTCTTTCCCAGAAAAGACTCGAGCAGATAATTAGAGTTCAAATGAGATGAAAGAAATCCCGTCCTCTTGATAAAAAGTCTCAAACCTGCAATTCAAGTTTTATGAAGGAAGGTTTAAGCAAACGCTGCTCAACTCAAAGCTTCAAGACTTATTCCAGTTACGTGGGGCAGGGGACACCTCTGCTCACCAAGCGGTGCAGGGTCAGGATCCAGCACTGAGCACGGTCCACAGATCTGTTTGTCAACAGATCCTTTAGTTTCCTGTGAAACTCATGGGAAAGCCACGCTGCTGAGCTTATTTTGTGAAACCATCTTGCAAGCATGAAGCACTAAGCTCCTACAAAGCATACTAGATGCCAAAAAACCCCCAAATGGAAACGTGTTGCATTTGTGAAGAACATCAAGAAAGTAGTTTTGGGAAATGCAAGCTGGAGACCAAGTTTTTTTACCAGATTCTGTTACCAGCAATGGATATGGTGGATTTAAGAGCCTGCAGATGGAAACATTGCAGGAACTGGAAGCGCTCGGAGCAGGTATCTCCAGATGAAGATGAAGACCACCTGGCAGGAAAAAAACCCCACATGCAGCAGGTCCACCCAACACAACTGTTCACAGGGAAAAGCAGCACCAGGACGAGCAGGAAT